GTCTTGCATGCACCGGGCTCGGTGCACCATACAAACTGCATTGTATTTCAATACTTGAGTACGTGTTTCACAGCATGTTATCAAGTGCTGCATTCATATGCCATCTTAGATAGCCGAGCCTATTTTAGTTGCATTTTTGCATGTGTTGCATTAGGCATCTTAACATAGCTAGGATCATGCATGATTTCTAACTAGTTTTCTGTTTTGGCTCGGAGTACACTGTAAGTGTTTATGCTTTAGCATCCTTGCGTGTGTGTAAGTGCCTGCCATGAAAGCATGCTTGCCATGAGGCTATTTGCTTAAATGATTAGCTGCATGAATGCCTGTGGGTGAAGGCTTTATTGCTTAAATTGGAGCAATTCATCGAATGTGAGTTTTATGCCCACTTGAGGGTGGCAAATCCGCGTCTTAGCCTACTTGTGAGTAGCATCTTCAAACCACTTTCGAAAAATAAACATGAGATGTTTTGTTCTAAATCGAGCAATTTAGTCTATACTTATATGTTGTGCGCCTCACACAGTAAATTAGATTAATAATCGGGATAAGAACGCATGTGTTTTCAAAAACAACATATCATTTTAGTAGAGGTCGATTCTTTGATCGGGTGAGCGGGGGTGCTCATTTCAAGACCTTCCCTCTCATACCCAAGTTCCCGAGCTGAGGTAACTTTGGTGATGACGGACATGTGTGTAGACACCTCATTTTTGACCGTCCTCAAGACTTGGACGTCACCATTGGAACACTTGGTGATTACCTTTGTTTGTGTTCGTTTGGAGTTCTCGGAGGTCTCGGCTACACGCCCTGCCTCAGGATCTCCGAAGTTGACCGTTTTGTGTCTGGTTTTGCACCAAACACTTGTGTTTTTCCTTGGAGGAGCAGGGAATGCCTTGTGAGGCATCCCCACACACCACCGACAGTGGCTAGAGGTCACCGGCTGGTTTTTGCTGCCATCGGCACTTTTTGTTGCCGGTCGGCACTCCTTTTTGCCAAAATGGCATCTTTGGCCGGCCGACTACTGTGCATCTACTTTTGCAGATATTTTATCACAACTGTCTTGTTTTTGGCTCCCATCCATACACGTGTATGGAGGGATCTCTCTCTTTAGAAGCTTGCCTTGTAAGCTTTACAAGACAAAAGGCTCTATAAGAGAGAGCCTTCTCTCTTGGCTTTAGGGTTAGACACTTTAGACATTTTAGAGAGTTTAGACAGCCATTTTTAGGGTTTGAGTTCTAGGGTTAGGGTTTCATACATATCCTATCTCTATATCTCCCTCTTGTGTGTGTTCTAGGTGTTTTAGTCCATACTATTGCACACAAACACCTAGTGCTTCACCTTCACTTAGCTACTGAGGTTCTAAGAGGTTGGTTTTGACGTTTTGGAGCTGGATTCAAGCCAAGGAGGGCTGTTGGAGCATCATTTGTGAAGGTGGTCAACAAGGGTGAGAAACTTCCCTTTTATTCCCCATTTTTGCATTGTATTTTTACCTGTCTTAAAATCGTTTTTGAGCTTGGTGTATAATACAAAAAAGTTCTTTTTTTTAACCCTCTTGATTGTTTATTAAGAGTGTTTTGTGGTTTGGAGGTGTTTGACCCCTCTTAGGCCTTGAAAGGCCCCATTTTGAGCCGTTTTGAGTGAGTTTCAAGACTTTGGTGTTTGGTTCTCTTCGCCACTAAAATCTTGAGGGATTTGAGTGGTGGAGATGGTGCCTTGATGTCTCCAAAAGGGGAGGGCCTCCCCCTCTCCTTGTTGTCCTTGAAAGGGACCCTTTTTGGCTTCTTGAGAGAGCATCATGTTAGAGTGTGTATTGATCATGTCTTGGCTGTTTTTCATGCTTATTATGCAATGATATAACCTTGTTGTGTGTTGGTTTTGATACACCATGCATACTTAGCATACCTACCACGTAATGCCATGTTATTGCCTTAATATGCCTTAGGTTGTTAGCCTTTGTTCTAGCATGTTTTAGGCTTAGCCTTGTGAAGGTTTTGTGCTCATTTTGCCATGTTTAAGGTCTGTCCTAGGTTGTTTGGGTCGGATTTGGCATGTTTAGTATTGCTCCTTTGCATTCCGGCTTGTTGGCCTTAAGTGTATGAATGTATAGCATGACATTCTTGTATTGATTTAGTGGTTTGGAACTATCCACCATGTCATTTCAGTCCCCTTTGCATGCCTATATGTTTGCCTTGGATGTCTCCTTATTGTTTTGAAAGCTTGTGTAGCATGTTCCATGTTTTGGCCATTGCACATGCCTTTGAATTTGAGCCACTTAGATGCCATCTAGAGGGTCCCCTTTGCATGGTCTAGGTCTGCCTTGAACCTATTTTAAGTCCTCTTAGCCTTGTTAGGCTTGGTTGGCTTGGTCATGGTTCAAGCCCCTTTGATTTGCTTCAACCACTTGGGCCATTTGTTGCATGTTTAGCTTGACTTGTTACTTGGTTTGGCACCATGTTTTAACATGATTTTCAATGCTTACCTTGCATGCCATATGTCCATGATTACCTTCTTTCAAATGTGTTTGAGAGTTGTCTCATTTGTACCTAAGTGTTGGCTCCTTTAACATGTGCATGTGTGTATGTTTCTAGTCCTTTATTTTGGTCACTTTGGCCACTGTTTTAGGCCTATTTAGAGTTGCCTAAATCATGTATAAGTCCACCTTTCCATCAATTTGCATTGCCTCATGTTTGCTTGTATGCTTGCATAAGTGTCTTGCCATGCCATGTTGCATCCTTAGCTTGCATGCCTAGGTTGCATTGCATCTTGCATGCATGCCTTATTCCTTGACTTGGTGATAGGAATTGGGCCTTGGTTTGTTTGTTTGGTTTGCATTTCATTTGACATGAAAGTTGCACACTTGATTCTTTGGGCCGTCATGCATGGAAATGCGTGATTGGCGGTCCGAGAAGCGAGACACATGTCCTTTTGAGTCACAAACATGATAGGGGACATGATTGGTGCATACATTGCTTGAATTGTATTGCCATGCAAGTTCTGTCCTCTGCTGCTGTGAGTTGCAGGTTCTGCAGGCACTCTTTGCCGACCGGCAGTATACATTGCTGACCGGCAGTAAATCACCAGCCGATGGATTCATTTTGTGCCGGTAATCACAGGCCACTGCCGGTGGGCATTCTACTCAGCCGGTGGTGATTCCCAGCATCCAGAGAGGCATCCTTGAGACTTTGGCAGTCTTCAGAGAGGCAGAGCAGGGAAAATAGAGGCAGACTATGCATGGCCGTGCACTTCCGAGCGAGACCCGAGCATGCGCTACATCTGGCTCTCCTCCCGAGGCGGTTTACTGCTTTTCCTAGCTTAATTAGTTTGTTAGCTGATTAGGTAATTTGTAATATTTAATTAGCTTGCGAAGTTAGTTAATTTGTATTATTTATTTGGTCTCTCCGAGCGAGGGCGAATCTGTAATAAGTGTGTGTGAGTGGGGTGTATGTCTTCCAATCCCACGTCTTTCTTCCCTTTTATTTACTTGCTTTGATGGTAGATTAGGGCACGTTTAAATTAGCATACCTCATGCAATGCATGCGTGCATTCATGCATCTGGTATTGCATGCATTAGGCTCGGTACATCACGCTAACTGCATTTGTACTTCAATTCCAAATTGAATACGTGCATCAAATTGATTGCATTTACATGCCATGCTTAGGTCAGCGACCTATTCTTAGTAACGTTTTGTATGCGATGCATTAGGCACTTAATGGACTTGGATCATGCCATTGATGGCTAACATGTTCCTGTTTTTAGCACGGAGTACGATGTAAGTATTTATGCTTTAGCATCTCCATGCGTGTAAATGTTAACATGATAGCATGCTTACATGTGGCTAAGTGCTTATGTGAGATAAACTGTTTGAATGCTGTGGGAGAAGGTTGGATTGTTTGAGTTGGAAAAACTCGTTAAATCCGTGTTTTAGCCTACTTGAGAGTAGCAAATCCCAAAGCGCTTTTCAAAACAACGGATATGCACAGCTTGTTTCCAAATTAGGCAATCTAGTCTATACTGTGTTGTGTGCATAACTATGTAATTTAGGCTAATAATGGAATAAAGAACTATATGTTTTCAAAAACGGATATCATGGTTAGTAGAGGCCGATCTTCGGACCGGGTGGTAGGGGGTGCTCATAGCTGACCTTCCCCGATCGTACCCTAGCCCCGAGCCGAGACAACTCCGGTGATGACGGACATGTGGCCTTCGGCATCGAGTCAGGGTTTCCTAAATTCCCCCATAAAAAATATTTAGGTGGTGACTCTGTATCTGGCAAAGCAGTCCATGTTTGGCACTTCTTTCCTAAAATCTTTTTTCTCAAAACGATTTGCCAGATTTGGACTCTTTGGTTCAAGATTAAGAACCGTAACACAAATCGAGTCCGAACTAGTAGCGAGGGCCCCACGCGGGCGCATCTACAACGTGGCCTTTGGCACGAGTCATGGTTTCCCAAATTTCCCAAAAACAAAACATTTAGGTGGCGACTCTGAAATCTGGCAAAGTAGTCCATGTTTGGCACTTTTTGATTCAAAATTGATTTTTTTCAAAACCAATTGTCCGATTTGGACTCTTTGGTGATTTACCAGTCTTACATTGCACTTTGTGAGATTAAAGTCAGAACCATGACTAGGGTCCGAACTATAGTTGCCATGAACCCAATTCGCACCCTCACGCGCGAAGCAAGTTCGGGCAGTCTACAGGTGGACATCTTTACTTGATGATATTTTGTCTTTTTGTGAAAAGCATGAAATTGATGTTACCCAAATGGATGATATGTTTGTAGCTTGAGGGAGAAAAAGGCACAATGCTCAAGAAATTACAAACTTACATCATTACTGTGCTATGTTATTCTACACTGTTTTGGATATGCAAATTCAAGAACTATATGCTCGTTTCACTGAGTCAAACATTGAGTTGTTACTTTGTGTGGCATGTTTGAATCCATCTAACTCTTTCTCTAGTTTTGACAAGCAAAAGTTAATTCATTTTGCTGAATTTTATCCCAAAGGATTTTCTTTAGTAGAGCTCATGGTACTTAATGATCAACTTGATACATGTATTATCAGCATGTTATCCAGTAGTGAGTTCTCAATGTTGAACGGAATTGTCGATCTTGCTAAGAAAATGGTGGAGACTAGAAGAGACAAAGTATATCCATTGGTGAATTTGCTCCTGACTTTAGCATTAATCTTACCTATAGTAACTGCTACTGTTGAGAGGGAATTTTCAGCTATGAATATTGTGAAGAACCAGTTGTGGAACAGAATGCATGACGAATAGATGAATGATAGCTTGGTTGTCTATATTGAGAGAGATATTTTTGATGGCATTGACAATGATACTATCATGGAAAGATTTCAACAGATGAAAACTTGTCGGGGTCAATTGTAAAAGTTTAAAATTAAAAACTTTTTGTAATGAATATTAATTTTTAATGTTTAATATTAGCTCGAAAATTTATTATTATGTTATTGTTATTGATTGGAGAAGAAAAATTTTGAGATTATAATTAATAGGGAGATTATAATTAATAGGTGCCCTCTTATATTAAATTCCTGGCTCTGCCACTAACTAACATACATGCCTTCGTCCTCGGCTAGGATTGTTTGTACCACTTGGGCTTCTGCTAGAGTGAAACCCGAAAGAAATACATCCTTATTACCGTGATTGATTTCTAGCAAAGGTGTAGTAACCTCTGTGGTGGATGAATAGATGAGTTTCCAAAAACGGTTGCAACTCCTTCCTCATGAGGGTATTTCAACATTTGATGGAGGGTGGAGGAAACAACCTTCATGTAATGCAACCAGGGCCTCCCTAGAAGTAGGTTGAAGGTAGCGGCACATTGAACACATGAAACTTCATCTCATACTCGGAAGGGCCCACTTGGATGTGTACTTTCTCTGTTCTCATAACTTCCCTACGCGTATTGTCATACACCCGGATCACCTGAGTCGTGGGGATGAAATCTACCAGCATTAGGCCTATTGCATAGGCGGGTACGAGAAGGACATACGTTGTTAGTAGAGCTAGTGTCCACTAGAACTACTGGAACCCATTTTTCTCTACAAACAACAGATATGTACAGTGGCTTGTTGTGAGCCGATCCTTTCGGTGGCAGTTCCTTATTATAAAAGGTGAGCATAGGCTTGGTGCTACCTAGGAAGATCAGGCAGATGAGCTGCTCTGGTGTTGTATCGATGGATAACTTGGCTTTATCCGTTGCCGACAAAATTGCTTGTCGATGTACTTGCGAAGCTATCAGGAGGCCCCAAATGGAAATGTCATCTTTTTTAGCTGTTTCAGAACCATCTCTTCTTCTAGTCTCTTCTCCTTCTCCTTCTCAATCTCCTTGTCCTATCGCGAAGGTTTTTCTTGGTTTAAGTGTGGAGGTTTGAAATACCATCCACTCCTAGTTGGGTGATCTATCTCTTTGGCATACCAAGTCTCGTGTGGGATGTGATCTCTCCAGTCTTCATCTGTGTGAGCAAGATGCAGATCGCTAACTTCCCACCATTTAGCTTTATTCACCGATAGACAGTTGTCTGGCTCCATTTGAATCACTCCCACAGGACAAGGTATTGTAGCCTTCTGACTATCTTCGATACTCTCCCGTTCAAACTGCCCCAGCATAGCTTCCTGTTTATCATCTGCAATTTCATCAACACCTAATTCTTGGGTTTATTTTTCTTTTCTACTGCTCTTAGGCACTTTCCCTTTCTCTTTAGCTTTCCCAGCTACGATAGCTACCACAACTTTCTTTCCCTCAAACTAAACTCTGGTTTCCTCTTCTTTGTCATTATTGCTCAACCATCCCCAATTATCAACCGACAGGCTTAGATCAAACCAACCGATAGGCTTTGATCAAACCAACCGATAGGCTTTGATCAAACCAACCGATTTGCACATTGCATTGGTCCTATTCTTTGAAGAATTGGAGGTTGTCCAAATCTTCCTTAATATCTGCAAAATCATCTAACCCTTGGCTTGCGCCATCTTCTCTGACCACATTAACATCAACTGAGCTCACTAGTCCTACTTTAGGCTTGGTTGAGCAAGAGGAACAATGTATTGACTCGGGTCATATTTCCCCTAAAATAATTCCCCGAGAATTTTCAGTAATAGACTGGCACTTCCTTCCAAGGTCAAAACCTCATCTTCTTCGGGCGTTGTGACTACATGTTTATGAGGCTCAGATTGTAGGTTGGATGTGTTCATCATGCACAAGTCTATGCCATCAGGGATGAACAACACCGGCTTTGGTATATGAAAGGGGGTGATATAGGCGCTCGACTTATAGTATAGGGGTGGTGTATGGATGTGATTGGTGCGCAGTGGGGGCGATACCTAGTTATGGTTGGGTAGTGGATTGGTTATGGTGTTTGGCCTTTGGAGTGGAGCTATAACTTTGTTGTCGATTAGATCCTGGATCTCATGACATAGGTGGTAGCACTTTATCTATTTCATGGCCATGTTATTGATAGAAGGCACAGTACTTGGTGGGATCGTGCCTAGGTGGGAGAGGGTTTGGAAGTGGTCGAGGGTCTAGGGGTTTCAGATGCCCCCCTTTCATTAACAGCTGCATGGCTTGAGATAGAATCATGTGAAGCTGATTGAATGTCCTTTGGTTTTGGGTAGGATTGGATGTTTGTGGGCTTATGTTGGCGAAGGAGTCGGCGGTTTTGGTAGTGGTGACAACACTCATCTCTGAAGGCCTCGCAGCTGTGCGACCTCTGGTAGCATTGTAACTGCGAGTAAAAGGCCTCTTAGCCAACTCCTTATCATATAATATGATACCCTGTTTCACCGTGTCTTCAATCTGAACACCCATTTCATGAAGCTCTTTGAAGGTAAACAATGGGAGAACTATCATTTTCTGAAGCAACTTGCGGTGAAGATTCCGGATAACCATTCGGATTTGGTCCTTTTTTTATTGTCATAATCGATGCCTTGGCCCTCTATCTAGTCGCAAACTCTGAGAAGCCCTCCTTCGGTTCCTGACCTGTTGCCTCAAGATCACAAATTGTGACCTCGATCTACGTGTTGTAGAAATATTGGGCAATAAAAGATTCGGCCAACTCCTCCCAGCTTTGTTTCACATAGTCCTCCAATTTAGCAAACTAAATGGCAGCTATACCTGACATGGTTCGGCCAAAGAGCGACAACTTTGAAGGTCTCGTCAAACCCATTAGTCATATGATATCAAAGAAAATGTGCAGATGCGTCATTGGATCTACCGAGCCAATGAAGCGGTCAATATGCGGCATTTTGAACCGTTCTAGCAAAATAATGACAGATTTAGTACATCCATCCTCTATATCCAGAATAGAGTTAACACCATGTGCCTTCTTGAATAGTTTTTCAAGTTTGCTAACTTTGAGCATGGTCAAGTCAACCTTGAATTTAAAAGGTGCCTCAGTTGGTAAACTAGAGCTCTAGACATTTGTACTGGAATTGGGTCCGCCTAGATGGAAAAAGGTAGAACACCCTCAACTGGTGCATTTCAAGGAGCAGTAGCATTGGCATTGGTACCGGGCATAAAAGTAGCCACGTTCGGTATATATGAAGCATAAGCCGTAGCTGGATGCTGTTGTTGATGTTAAAACCTATTCCTGACATAGGCTTGACTTGCCATGTCATGCTGGAGTGAGTCGGCTGATTATTGCTGATGAGTCAATAATTCCTCCAAGTCTGATAATGGATACTGAGCCATTCTAGGAGTAGGTGACTGTGCTTAAGGTGAACTGAGTATAGGTGAGCTAAGGGGTGATTGCTGAAATAACTGAACTAGTGAACCCCGTCTGACCTTTCTTCGCCTTGCAACTGGTGACAGTGAGGCAAACACTAGCTATCCCCAAACAAGATCTCCAACCTTACAGAGTCTTCCGACACGGCTCCAAAGTACTTGGGGAATATCAGAACTTTCTAAAGCTATTTTTTTAGACTACCTAGCAAAACAAATAAAGTAAAAGCAACAATCAGAAATCATACAACACCTCAGCTAAGATTTTATTAGAACAGATATGATCATAGTCGTAGGATTGGACTCCCACTGAATTTTTCCCGATAAACTGATATCCAATGTACCATTGATATGAAGCACTGTTGTACAGTTTCACTATAGAGCACATACCAGGTAAAGAGAGCCAAAACACCCCTATGAGGGGGTAGGGTTACCCTGCCCTTATTTTGGTATGACCTAGGGTTTCACTACTTCAAGCGAGTAGTTTCACAAATCCTGCATATATGGGTGAGCATCCTGTCCTATGTTGGAACACTCACTAGAGCTTTACTATATGTACTAGGCCAATTGGTCAAAGGGGTACCTCAGCAAGGTTACCTAATACACCTCTCACACCTAACACTGAAAAGTGAAAGGAGGACCAAGCAGTACAGCAGTAACCTAGATCCAAGGGTTGTGTTCCTAACATGACATTGCCTACGTCCGACCAGTCTTCTGGCAAGCTTTTGGCAAGCCTCCGGTAGGTTGTCCAGGATATTAGATAGTAAACATAGTGACTTAGAGCACCATGCAGATGCAAGGCAATGAACATTTATCTGTAAATAAAATGTCACATCATGAAGTCCAAGTGAAGTTCTCTAAATATCCCCAGCAGAGTCGCCAGAAACTGTAGCTTGCTTTTCGTGCTCCTCAGAGGCGTATAGTCTCCTCGGATATGATAGCCCTACAGTTCGAACTCTTGTGGTTTTAAATCTGGTTTCACAAATGCAATGTCAAACATAAAAAAACGAATGAGAGTCGAAATCCGACAACTCTTGGAAAATCTATTAATCATCAGAGATGCCAAAAATGGACTACATTGCCAGATTTCAAAGTTGTCACCTAAATATTTTGGAAAATTTAGAAAATCAGTGACTCGTGCCAAAGGCCACTTGTCTGTTATAACCTAAGTGTCTCGACTCGGGAACTTAGGTATGAGAGTGGAAGGTCGTGAATTGAGCACCCAACTCACCCGATCAAAGATCGGCCTCTACTAATCATGATGTGATTTTTATGGACAGTGTATGCGCATGTTCGGTTTATTATGCTAACTTACTATGTGAGGCACGCAAGTATAGACTATGCCACCCACTTTGGAATGCTTTAATTTCTTGTTTGTTTTGAAAAGAGTAATACATTTATCAAAGTCGTTCCAACTTAAGTGAAATAGCCTTCATCCACAAGCATTCAAAGAGGTTTTTGAAATACGCACGTAGCCTCATGGTGGTATGCTTGACATGGCAACACAAACACATATGTAACATGCTAAAGCAAAAATGCT